GGGCATCACTCTGCTGGCTGTCCCTGTCTTTGTGGAGGTGTGGGTTAGGGTTAGCTCCATTTCCACCCATGGACCTGCAGAAGGATTGGGGGTTAAGCTGTCCAGGGGGTCCCACCAGCAAGCAGAGCTGTGGCTCTGATCCTGGGACTTCACTCTGCTCTGGAACTGCTTCTGTGCCTCAGTTTCTCCATCTGTAGCATTGCCTAAGCTCTGCCGGGGGTAGGAGAAATTTTCCTTGATCCTTTCCCTGGGGAGAAATGCCAAATCCTGATAGAGCACTGATTCCTTTGGGATGGAAGGACTGCTCATTCAGAATAAAGCTGCTTTTTCATGGAGAAGAAGCACCCACACGGAGGGGACAGCCTCGAGCCCTGTCTTTGTGCATTTAACCCCAGTGCAGACCAGTTCTTTCCTAGGTGCTCACTGCTAATGGGACTTACACACCCCTGATGTTTTTCAGCATTACAGTTTTGTAATGCCCTCAGATAGTGTGGGACTGTGCACCCAGTACAGACAGACAGGCAGACAAGGCTGTACAGAGGGAGCCAGTGCATGGCCAGAGCATCACCAGGAAGGTGAGACCAGGTAGACTGGAGAAAAGACAAGTTCTGTATAGCACATGCCAGCTTTTGCTCCTTCACTGTTTTCCAGCTCCACCCAGGGTGCCCCTGCCACCATGCAGTCTCTTTGCTCCCTGGTTTGAATGAGCTCCTTTCCAACTGTTTTTAGAGCTGCTCAGCACCAGTCTCACAATGTCCCATATTGCTGATGTCTCAGGGATTTTGGGGCACAGTTTCTTAATTAAAGCCATCCTTTGGACAGGCCAAGGTCAGAGAGAGGGTGAACTACCACCTCCCTGGCAGCTGTGGCCGTGGATGGTGGGCACAGGGATCCAGTTTGATTTTTCTTTACCCTGCCAGCTCCTGATACAGCCCAGGGCAGGAGCTCCAGCATCCCTGTTCTGGGGCAGGGCTGCTGTGGAGAGCAGATCCAGGCTGGGATCAAGACTCCATCCCCCTGTGCAAGTGTGTGTGTGTGTGTGTGTGTGTGCACACACTTGGGAGCGCGTCCCTTGGGGTTTGCACAGCACATTAAAGCTATTCCCTTATCTAATCATGACTCAGGTGAGTGCTATTAGGGTTATACATTAACAGTAGTAACGATCCCTTCTCCCCACACAGCCATTGGCCCTGCCTTGATCCCAAAGCCGAAACCATTCCCACTGGCCCCATGAATGGCTCCATTTGGCTGCCTGAGCAGTTCCTTTGCCTGGCCTTTTGGGGACAAGCAGGAGGAGCTGTAAATGCATAGCGGGGCTGGAAGTGGCCAGCAACTGTGTTAGGAGACATCACCCACACCCCCTGTGCACCCCATGCACCCCAGTCACACTCCCTCCTGGGACAGCAGCCTCAGCTCCAAACTTTCCCAGCCATGGGACTGCCTGATACACCTTTGCCAGGCTTGGCTGTAAACGTGGGAGCAGCTCCATCACTCTGCTCAGCCTTGCTCCCTTCTGCAGCATCAGGGTCTCCTCATAGGCATGAGGGCTCCCCATAAGGAACCAGGCTGGCTCATCCCGAATTTCCTCTTTCTTTTTCACAAAGCCATAAAAACTCTCCAGGAGAGAGTTAAGTGTAACCCAGCATTCATATTCAAGGCAGTTGAATTATTCATTGTCAACAGTATTTCTTTCGAATCCTTTTCTTTTCCTTGTGAATCACTCACAGCACATCCCAGAGTTCAGCAAACATCCGAAACCAACAGTTAGTCAAGGTGAATAACTTTCCATCTCTGGCTTGGTAGTGAGCCCTCTGTTTTGAGTCTTTTCTACCTGACACTGGGCAGCAAGAGCCCGGTGTCCAGCTCCCCCAGTGATGGCTCTGCCAGCCCTGAGGCAAAGCACAGCCCTCCATCCAGGATGAACGATGAAGAGGGAATAACAAAGAACAAGCTGTGATGGATCTATTTACAGCTGCAGCAGGAAATAATAATTCCTACTGAAATTCATGGCATATGTAGTATTCGCAAACTGCCTTTATTCTTTATCCTTTAATTTTTTTTTACTGTATCTGTCAATTCCTTCACTTTCCAGGTGGTTTTAGGTAGGGTATTCAAACAGCAATGTTTCCAATAAGATCATTTTTAAGTTATTATCTTTTTAGAAAAGTGTTTGCTTTCAAATGAAAAAAGAAAGATAAATGTATGAGAAAGAAAAAAAACTTGTAGGAGCCCCTGAGCCTGGAGCAGCCAAAGGGAGCCCAGTTTCTCACAGAGCTGCTAAACCTCACATAAATCTCCACCAGCGCATCTGGTTTATTCTGTAACTTCCCAGGATCGCTGTGTTTGCAAATTCAGCACAGGTCCCTGCTGGGTTGGGGTGAAGAAATTCTTTTCATGCTGGTGAACTCCTCCCCTGTGGGGTGGTGAGAGGGGGCAGCAACCCCTGGAAAGGACAAGGGTCCTGTGAGAGAGCAAGGGGAGAGTGTGGGTCCTACATGGGCTGGGTGCCTCCAACATCACTCCAGCCCAGCAGTATCTTCTGTGGGCAGTTTTGCTTTGAGCTGTCACAGCTGATGTGCCAAATAAGAGACAAGCACCCAGCACACTGACTTGCTGCGTTTCAGCCGTGTCTCTGCAGACATTCCACACACATCTTGCTCAAACAAATTACCTTTTTTACCCTGTTTTGACCTGCAGAGTCACCCTCTGTGTCCAGAGGCAGGTTTGACCTGGCAGTGGTGAGGAGGGATTAGGTGTTCACTTCTGACCAGCCCTGGGATGAGCTGGGCTCCCCACTCTCTGAAGTGGTCACTGAATTCATTACATCCCTCAAAAACAAGTTAGTGGCAGAAGTCCAGCCCTGGACTCTCTGGTTCTATTCCTGGTCACGTTGCAGCCTTGATGGGTTCACTCCCTCTTCCTAGTGTCACTGGAGAACTCTGGTGCTTCTTGAGGACTGTGCTGGGACCCTCGTCCATCACTCCGTTCATGCTGTGCTGAGCCCCAGCCAGCACCTCCAGGAGCAATGGCAGGACAAAGGGTGGCACACTCATGGAAATCAGGTGCTAACTTGAATTGGGTGACTGCTGCTTGTGTGCCTTGGAGTGCCAATGTCAAGTCCCAGCAGGGCAAGATGCCTTCTGTGCCAGCCCACTTGCTCCCACTCATGTGCTTCCACGCCTGGTTTGCTCAGTGGTCAATGATATGAGCTGGGTTTGTGGCTCTTGCTTATTTAGTAGAAAAACAGCTGTCTTTGTACATCCCATGGGATGCTGCAAGGGAAATGACCCTGAGGGTGCCCCTCTCGGACCTGGAATATACAGTGGCTGTGGGTTGTTCTGCCTCCAACACTCTTTTACATTTATGTTTCAGTGTAAGAAGTGGCTTAGGAAAGTCCCCATCTCCTTGCAATGGGAAAGCAAGAGAGAGACACTGTCAAAAGTAAAACTGAGTTGGTCGAGAAACAGATTTCCAGCCTGAGGGTTGGGGTTTTTCTCTGTGGAGATTCTCTGATGTCCTATTAGTGTCTCTAGAGCCCAGTTTTGCTCTGTGCCACCCAAACTCCTGCTTCCACTGGGAGGCTCAGAATTTAATTGTATTGCTGAGACTGTCCAATGTCTATCTGATTTGGCCCAAACTGGCTGAGGTGCCAAAGACTTTTTAGGGGGAATGGATGAACAGGATGGCAGGCACACAAAGATCCCCCTTCCTGGCATAATCAGGCTGTAAGTGAGGTCATATAGGTCCTTGGGTCACTAGAAATCCCTCTCTGCACATCTGCAGCAGTGATGGGCAGTATCTTGTCCATGCTGGTACACCCAGGGCAGCCCCAGGGAAATCCATGGAGCTGTTCTGCACTTGCTCCTACTCCTCCCCGTGGCAGCACTGCTCTCAGCAGCAGAAATTCAGGAGAAGATGGGCAAACGTGTCTGCCAGGCAAACAAATGATCAAGCACCATCCCTCTTGACTCCCTGGAACAGGATTTTGTAATTTTGGGTGGAGAAGCAAATATTCACAGCTGTGTTTATTCCCTGCCCATGGGCATTTCTGCAGAGGAAAGCACCAGGATCTTGTCAGCAAACTTCCAGGCATGGGTGTTCTTCCTTGGAGTGCCACCTGCACCCCTCGGCCCCCACCCCAGGCAGAGTTCCACAAATACTGTGTGTTGGTGGGTTAGCAAAGGAACTAACAGAGGAGACAGCAGGGCTATCTTTTGACTATCTTCTTCTGCTACAAAGCAGCAGGTGCTGTTTGCAGACCTGTGGGATGTGCATCTCTGTGCACAGAAATGTGAGTCTTGATGGCCCCAACCTTTGTTCATATCTGGGGGTGCCAAGGAGAGATTCAGATTGGCATTGGCCAAAAGTCCCTGGCTGGCCCGTGGAGTCACTCCCCAGGACTGCTTAGGCATCATGTGGGCTTTCTCCAATGGATCTTTGAAAATGCATGGGAAGCCCTCTGTCTTAGATCAGTACAGGGAAAAGGAAAATAACCCTCTCAGTGGCAGAGAAATGCTGTCATTCTAGGGTTTTCTGTCTTTCCTGTGTCCTGATCAATGTGCCTTCAAGTGATGACAACTTGGTTTTGGGCTTCCTGGCAAAGAGATGGGCTTTCCCCAGCAATCCCAGGTAGCTTGTCCTCAGTCCACCACAGGACTTGCAGCTCTGCTCCTCTCAGGGACCATGTGTCATAACACATGGGATTTATGGTCCATCTTCTTGAGGTGCCTCTGAATCCCTCCTGCTCTCTCCACCAAGCAATTCCACCAAAGCCCAGGTACTTTCCAACAGGGAGAAACACCTTGGTGCTAACCAGGATGGACATTAAATCCAGTAGGAGCCTCACGACTGTCTTTCCCACTGGTCCCCAGGGCATTGCCACATTTCTCCTGAGCTCTCCGCAGGTGGTTGTGTATCTCCTCCATGCCCTTGGGGATGTTCCCTCCCTTCCATTGCTCCCCCTCTCCACAGCTCACCTCCCACTCTGCTCTCTCTGCCAGGCAAGACCAGGACAAAAGACAAGTACCGGGTGGTGTACACGGACCACCAGCGCCTGGAGCTGGAGAAGGAGTTTCACTACAGCCGCTACATCACCATCCGCCGCAAGGCCGAGCTGGCCGCTGCCCTGGGGCTGACTGAGAGGCGGCAGGTCAGTGCTACAGAGTCCCGGGAAAACCACGTCCCAGGGGGAGAGGGAGATGGGAATGGGTTAGGGGAGGGCTGTGGCCCAAGCAGTTAGCAGAGGCCCCACCTTGCTCCACAGAAATCCCTTCCTTTCCAAACCTGGGGATGCCCTCCCTGCCCCAGGGGCACCATGAGGGTGGTCATCTTTGGTTGCATCCGTCCTCAGCTCTGCATATCCATCTTTTCCTTTCTGCAGGTGAAAATCTGGTTTCAGAATCGGAGGGCAAAGGAGAGGAAGGTGAACAAGAAGAAGCTGCAGCAGCAAAGCCAGCCCACCAGCACCACCACGCCGACCCCGCCGGCCGTCAGCACGCTCGGACCCATCGGGGGCCTCTGCAACAGCAGTGCCCCCAACCTCGTCTCCTCATCTCCGCTGACGATCAAGGAAGAATTCATGCCTTAACCCCCTTCACCAGCTACAGACACCAAGAGATAAGCACTATGCACAGAGCCCAGCCGGTCCGTGTGCTCAGAAGAGTGACAGCCCCTTCCCAAAGACACGATGGTCCCCGACTGAACCGACGGGGCAGACAGAGAGGGGGCAAGGTGGCACTGGGACCTTCCCAAGGGACTGGTGGGCTGTGTAAAAAAAAATGGGTTAGGTAGTACTGCTCTCCCGTGGGAAACACACACTGCTCTGGTCTCTGTAGCCCAAGGCAAGGTCCTTATGTCAGCAGAAGAGAGGGGGTGGTGGTGGAGGAGGGCTCTCTTGTGGTGCTCCAGGTGGAACTGGAAGGATGCTTCCTTTGGTCCTCCTGGCTTTGCAGCTGCCTGGTGCTTTTGAGCAGTTCGAACCAGACTGAAGTAGAAAAAAGACCTGGCTGGACTCAAGGCAAAATGGGTTTCTGCTGAGCTGGTCTCCTGGGAAGTGGGGTGAGGAGGGCAGAGCGAGCTGGGCTGCAGGAACCAGGCAAGACACTTGGCTGTAGGACATGATGGGGGAGTCCTTCAAACCACAGTGATGGTGGCAAGCTGGAGCACATCCTTGGCAAGAGTTCCTGAACAGCCCTGTCCATGTCCTCAGCCACCCTGGCAATGCCCACTGTCCCATCACCAGCTCTGCCCCTGCAGACACAAAGAGCCACATGGAGATGTGTCCAGCAGTGCCAGTGCCCCCAGCTGTGCCATGGCAAGACAGCACTGCAGCCATCCTCCACCTGGAGCACAGGGAGAGGAGACAAGGGAGCCTGGCACAGGCACACTGGAGGCAGACCATCCTGCTGAGCCCTGAGACCACCTTCCTGTGGGGAAGTGGAGGAGAACAGAAGGTTTGCCATTGGAATAGGGTGCAAGAACCAGCCCCATGCTGTCCAGAAGGGCTGACACCAGGAAAGGGCTGTGTGTTAGTCCAAGGGATCACAGGCACCACAGGCACCGGGAGCTGCTGCCAGGTGGGCAAGAGCCACCTTAGGCATGTGAGAAATGGGGCTGGCATGCACTCTGCAGTTAGGGGATGGAGAATTGGTTTTCAGAAAGACAAAGAAGCTTTTTTTTTTCCTATTTTCTTTAAAACTACAGATTACAGGACTACAGATTTTGTCCTCCCTGTCTCCCCTCTCCTCCATGCACTGTACCTCCTTTTACCCTCTCTGTGCCCTAGGCCAGTAACTAACCCCTGTCTATTCCTGCTGGTGAGCTGCAGCTGAGCAGTCCCTTCATCCCACACCCCTGACCACTGTATTGGCCCAGGTTAACGGGCAGCCCAGTTTCAGCAGACCCAAAGGCCAGTGGGGCACAGTTGGGGCACAGCTGTGTCTGCATCTCCTGCTCAGGGCTGAGCCAGCTGCTCCTGAGCTGTGGCTTCCGAAGTCCAAGACAGGGATTAGGGAGCATGAGCCTTGCATGGTGGCTTGTGTGATCTTTCCCAGCATCATCTCTCCAAGCTCCATGAACATGGAGCAGCAGACATGTCCCTGCTACCTGCAAAGTACCCAGTCAAGCCCTCATATCCCACCCAACAGTGTCCTGTGCCTCACATCCCTTGGCTGCCCTGTCCACTGCCAGCCCCACACTGCTCACAGACCTCAGAACACAAGATGTCCAGGTGTGCTGTGGCTTTTACAAGTGGGTCCATTATCCCACTGCACCCACTGCTCTGCTCCAGCCCTCAAAGGCTTTGGGTGTCCCTCCTGCAGGAGGTGGTGACACCTCCCACAGCCACTGCTGCCAGGTGCACACAGTGATGAGGACAAATGTTTGCATCAGCTTGGGACTTTGGCTCAGTTTTTGTGTATATAAGGCAGAACTGGTTTTCCTTTTTATTTTTAGGCATCAGTGAAAATAAAAATGAGCAGGAATCCTGTGTGACACAGGTCTGTTGCTGTCCCTCCTGGCCCATGGTGTTGTGGCAGGGGAGGGTGCTGTCTCAGGAGTCACACTGGCGCCAATGCCGCTGAGCGCAGCCAGGGTTGGGAAGGGTGCCTTGGGACAGCAGCCTTGCCCACGTAGCACACACTGTGCCCATCCCACAAGGGCATTCCTGGCGGTGTCATGGCTCATATCGTGGCTTGGCGCTGCCACGTCTCATTCCTTTGGCACCAAGAGGGATGGCAATGCTGGGTGACCCAGCGGCTGCAGACTCTGGAGACAGCAGGGAAAGGGTGAGGCCATGCTTGGGCTGGCAGAGGCCAAAGAACAAGGCCAGCTCCCATTGGCGCCTCCTGGTCTCTAATCTCATTTTATGGCTGTCAATGGGCTGAATATCCTCCTTGTCCAAGATGAACAAACAGAGAACGAGGATGTGAGATAGTGCCTGGGACAGCTGGCATTGGTGCCCAACACTCTCCCCTCTCCATCCCAGGAGTGTCCCCCCAGTCCAGAAGACCACTGAGTAAGGAGTTGCCCTCAAATCCCTACCCAATATGGCTTGTCCAGCTCCAAAACTCCTCCCAGTGCCAAGCACTGCCTGAGAAGAGGTGGAGATGTGTGTGCCGAGGTGCCAGGGCAGGGCAGGTAGCTGTGGAGGGACACCTGAAGCAGGATAAAGGGTGGAGGAGATGGAGGAGTGGGAACAGGATGAGGTGGCATTGCAGACAGAGGGACAGAGCAAATGGTTTGTTCCTGCAATTGCAATAGCAGCTGCACCTACCGCTGACCCTGGTGACCCTGCACTCACTGGCATGGTGCCAGGCTGCCCATGGCATGGGACCACCACTGCTCCACACCCTTGCAAGGGGACATGGGGAATCAGGAGTTAAAACAGGTGGGGGGGAGGCAAAGACAATGGAGCTGGTGCCACATAGGAAAGGGATAAGACTCGATGGGCCACCTGCCTGAAGAGCTGGACTGGGGAAAGTGGGACCATTTCTGTGTGCAGACTCCAGCATGGTCACCATGCCAGGGGCTGGCTGCTCCACACTCATCATCCTCCCTTAGTGGGTTATGGCTGCCTTTGACATCCAATTTTGTCATTGCCACATGGAGACCAGCAGTGGGATCCTGCTCTGGCAGGGGACTGGGTGATGGCAACCCAGCATGGGTATCACTACTGTCTGCAAGGGGCGAGCCTGGGGAGGAACAGAGTCCTGGGGAGATGAAATGTGCATCTCCCAAATTCATCTGCAGTGTTGGGTTGCCTGCAGGTAGACAAGGGGCCAGGACAGAGGGAAGATGCTTTGCCGCCCGCCCAGAGAGGCTGCGGGTGCCATTGACAGGATGAAATTCCAACTGATACCCTAATCTGGCGCCTGCCTGTTTGCACAGCAGGGTAAAAGTCCAGGGAGCCGTGGGCTGTGCCCTTGGGTCCCTGCCACCCGTGTGTGCACAGGGAGCCGGCGCTGGCGGGAAGAGGCAATAAATGCGCCCACACACCCAGTCACCCCTTCCCCCTACACACACACACGCCCCTTGACCGGGTGACGAAATGCATCTGCTGTGTCCCCACTCCCATGTCCTCCCCTGCCGCCCTGCATCTGCCGTTTGGGCAGGGATGGGCAAACCCTGCAGAGTCCCCCCTGTGCCAGGAAAGGGGCCGGTGGACACCATGTGCCCATCAGCTTTGAAACCTTTGATTCAAACCTCCTGGATATGTGTCGCCCTGACGGTTGCACCCCTGGCAGGTGACTGACACCTGGTTTCAGCACCTGCAGCAGCTGCCTCCTGAGTCATACGTCCCACATGGAGCCTGGTCCTTATGGGGACAGCCTGCCCTCATGGCCAGAGGATCCTGGGGGATGTCCCCAGCAAGCCCCCGCAGTTTCTTCCTCTTCCTTCCTCTGTGCTTTTCGTCAGCTCCTGCTGCCCAGCTTCCCTCCTCCTTAGAGGAATCTTGAAATCATCATCAAAATAAGGCCACACGCAGCAGGTGGCCGAGCACACCACCGTCCTACAGCATGGCACACTTCCCAGCAGTGACTAACCAGAGCACCACTGCCGCTGTCGCCTTCCTCGTGTCTGCACCGTGGATCTGGGCACAGTCCCATCTTGCTGTCACCCACCTTCTCGCCTCTTCCCAGGTGGCTGCCACTCAGATGTGGGTGGGCTGCCCAGGCAGGGTGGGCAAGGGTGTTTCCCCAGCCTGTGTTCCACCCTCTCCTTGCCCACCAGACAGTGCCAGTGTCTGTCAGTTCTGCATCATGATGGAGAGACAAGTCTTTGCTTTGCCTGCTGTGTCTGTGCTTCGGCCCAGGGGAAGGGAAAGGTTTACTTGACGTCCCAGGGGTGGCTCAGAGGTGGGGTGGGAGGAAGCAATACTTGCTAGAATATGCTTGCAAGCCCCGTTTGTGCTCCCTAGTGCCAGCTTCTTGAAGATCAGGGCATGGGAACAGCTGTGCAATACCCTTGTACTCCTCTTGAGCTCTCCTGGGGTTTTTGGGGTCCCTGGACTGCACTGCTCTTTCTGGTTCCTACTGCCTCTGGGGGGTGCTGTTCCATGAAGTGGGCTTCTTGCCAGCTCCAGGGCAATGCAAGACTTGAGCCAGCCATGCAATGAGGCCCTGGAGCATCCCAGGTGCCAGAGGTGGGACCTCTACCCTGGTGGTCCCAGGCAATGGAGAGCTGATGGTGCTCTCAGAGCAGCACCAGACAAAACAGGAAAGGGAGCTCCAGATACAGAGCATCCCAGCAGCAGCAGTATCAACATGGGCATTTCAGGGCAGCATCAGCCCTGGATGTCTCTGCTGACAAATACTGCCCTGGACACAAGAAGGCAAGGGCTTGAAGTCCACCCAGGAATGCTGGGCTGTTTGTACAGAGTTCAGTCCATGCTGGTGACACAGGGCTGAGACAGTTGCAATAAGGTGACATTAGTCTCTCCTCTCCCACGTCATAGAGATGGCCATGGGACGCTTCTCTTTAGGTGGATCCCACGGGAAAAAGTCAAAGAGCTGATTCAGATTGCACTGGCACGAAAGGCAAACAAAGCATCCCTGCCCTGCATGAAGGGTGAGGCAAGGACAGTGCCTGATGCAGCCCCTGGATGTCAGCCTGGCCAGCTCCAGGCTCAGCATTCCCAGTCAGTATCCCGGGAGAGGGAGAATTGATGGGTGAGTCCAAGGCAGGTAAAACCTGCCTGGGTGAATTCCCAAAAATCTTTTTATTTTTGAGGAAGCTGTGAGTGTGTAAAAAGAGGTGTTTGTTAGGTTATGTAGTTTGTTCTTTCCTCCTTTCCCAATGGGAAATATCGGTAAATATTAGCTCAGAAAGACCCACTGTGCAGGAAGATGCTGTGAGCTTCTGGCATCTGCACTCGTGCTGCTGCCACCGCTGCTTGGGGCACGTGGGGTGCTCAGTGGCAGAGTGTCTGCAAAGTCAGGTCCATCCCTAGGGACACCCGATGCATTCGTGGCATGAGTGAGGCAGCAGCCGTTCCCCCTTGCTGCCTAGGTCGGGGGCTGAGGTCCCAGAGCCCCCCTTAGCCCGCCAGGAGTGCGTTTGACAGACAGACCTCCCTCCTCCCTCCCTGCTCCGCACGCAGCCATCCTCCACTCGAGGCAAACCTTTCCTCCAGCCTCGCTCCTGCCGTTCCCCAGCTCCCCCCCGGTAGCAGAGGGACACCCTCCCTGCCGGCCGTCGCTTCCCCTCTCCCCCTCGGCCCTCCCCAGCGCCGGAGAGAGCGAGACGAAAAGTGTCGGAGCGGGGAGCGCATAGCAACAGGGTCTGGCATGAAGAAGGTTCGGCAGCAGCATCTCCGGAAGGTGAGAGCCGGGAGCGGGGGTGCCCCGGGGATAGGAGCCGGGGAGCAGGGGTTACCCCCGGGAGGTGAGAGCCAGGAGCGAGGGTACCCTCGGGCTGGGAGCGGGGAGCAAGGATACCCCCGGGCTCGGAGCAGGGAGAGGGGGAGGCACGTCTATCGCCCTGCATCCTGTCCTCGGGAGCATTCGTGGGCAGCCGACAGGGATTAGTCGGATATTAGGGGATAGTGTCCGTGCGCGGGGCCAAAGTGGGACTGTGAGCAGAGGGATGGGGCGTTTCGTGCCCACCGCTCCTGCCTCGCTGCCCTGAGCGGGAGGCACCGCTGCCCGCATCCCCGACCCTCCTGTGCCAGCAGTGCTGCCGGCGGTGGGTGACTCACGTTGTGTCTGGACAGATGCCGGGGGTGGCACCGGGAGCAGAGCTGGCTCCCCGCAGCCTGGCACCCCGGGGACACTGCTGCCACCAGCCCCCGGGCTCGGAGCGGGGGTGAGGGGTAAGGGATGAGGAGTCCCACACAGGGAGCTGGGCAGTGACTTTCCCACCTGCAGCTTGGATTGCCTCCTCATCCTCCCCCGCAGGATTTAAAGGGGTCTGGGTGGTGGGGGGCCAGCTGAACACTGAACTCTGGGTTCAGGGCAGAGCTGACAGAGCTACAAATCCTTTTTCCATCCTGCTGGAAACCCTTTCTAAATCCAGCTGTCAGGCTTTCCCATCCCAGGTTTCCCTCTGCTGCCACTTTGCTCTTACAGCCTCTCTGAGTTCCCATTTCCCCCCACTTTGGGGACTTTTTCATGCCTGTCCCCCTTGGAGACATGGTGGAGCAGGGTGACAGAGGCTGTCAGCCACAGCTCCATCATAGGAATGTACTGATGCTGCCAGTGGGTCAGCACTTCCTGGAGCATCCCAGGCAGACACCCAGGGCTGGGAGCCACTTTGGCTCTCCTCTCTGCCAATCCATGCCCATTAACCACAGGGCAGGGTGACTCCAACCTGTGCCAGCATCCTGATGAATGAAAACCCAGGAGAGTTTCATCACTGCCAGGAAATTCCTAGGATATTGAAACATGACGTAAAAAAGCCAGCAGTGGCCTGGTGACAGCCAGCAGCTCTCTGCTGTTTCTCCATTGTTTGGAGTCATTGTCTGGCCTCTTCTCTCTCCTCCTCTTTCCTAAAAATTGCTTTTTCAGATGTCTTTGTGATTGCAAGATCCACTAAAAGTTGTCTTTGTCCCTTCCAATGGTTTTCTGAGTTACTTGATGCTGGTGATCCTGTTTAGCATTTATTCAGGAATTCATTTAGTCCCATGGCAATCAGCTGGTATGGAAAGCAGATGTCTCTGGAGTTATTTTCTCCATTCCCAGTGCTGCTCAGAGCCCTCCCTCCTCCATTACCCAAAACCACTTGCTGAACTCAGAGGGAAAACCCTGTGCTCGCAGCCACCTTGGGACCCCTGTGTCCAATGCTGGCATTGGGCTTGCCTGGAGCTGGTGGTGGCTGATGGAGAGATGTGCCCAGCCCAACTGCAGCACCCACCCAGGACCCTGAGAGCCTCCTCTCCCTCTCATTATGATCCACTTCCCATTGGCGAGTCAGGAGTTTTAAGCCTTCTCACCGGACATGTTTTAGATATATGAAAATGCCTCTTTAATGGAGAAGATCTTTCCCAGGCTCTAAGGACTTCAGGTTGACTTTTGCATAACAGTATTTGTGAGTGGATGTTTTAATTTGATTATTTGCTTTGGAGGGTTATTTGGTAGAAAAGGGCTAAAGCCCACGGGAGCCAGTGGTGGGAACCATGGTTTGGGCTGTCCCTCCCCATACCTGCAGAGCATCCTCCTCCTGCCTGAGCCACTGCCCTCCTCTACCTGCCACAAACTGCCTCAAAACTTCCCCAGGGTTTTTGGATGAAAGGCAATAAGCATTTGTGTCCATGTGTACTCCCTGAACTTTGGACATCACTGTCATGAGTTTGCTTCAGCCTCAGCCATCTCCAGCCCCCAAAGCCCCCTGTGCTGACTCCACCACCTCTTGCTCCCTCTCATGGCGTCGGCTGGGGGCACCTGGGGTCAGTGCAGCCCTTCGAGGGGCTCTCCCACACCACAGCAATGCTTTATTTACTTCACTTTCTAAGCAATATTAAATTTGAACTAATTTTTATGCCATTCTGTTGTTTTTTTCTCTCGGAGATTAACAAGCAATTCGAGGTAATCTGAAGTGACTCACACTTCAGAGACTTGCTGTGCTCAGATCCGCAGGGGAGAAATCTGGCGCCGGGTGGCATTTCCCCCTATCAAAGGTTGTGATCCATGCACGAAACACTGGCAAAATAACCCCACAATGCCAGCTTGAGTGGAGACAAAATATGATGAAAAAGTAACTTTGATCTGGCTGTTTTTTTCGTGGATGCAGCTGAGTTTTGGACTGGTTTAAGTAAATTGGTTTACAGAAAATAATTAGCACAGGGCGATTTTCTTACGGACGTGGGCTCTTATCTTGGCAGAGATTAAAGTGCTTTTTTTTTTTTTCTTGGTGACCTTTGATTTGCTGACTTCTTTGGGAACATCTTTTGGTGAATAATGAAAAGTGATGCCGTGTTCAAAGAGGCCGTGGTTGCCAAGGGAGCTGCTGGTCCCCGTCTGTTTATAACCGCGAGACGGGAGCCGGTTTGAAGGATGGCAGTTGACGGTGGAAAGCACTAGAGCAATATTGTAGCACTGGAGCACTTCAGCTGCTGCTGAAAAAGAAAATTCCTGTTATGACAGAGGCTGAAAGGGAGCAATAATCTTTAAAAAAGGATCTGGAATCGAGCCGGTGTGTGAGATTTCCAGCAGTCTGAAGTAGGGAGGTGTGCTTTTCTCTGCTATTTGGGACAAAGATGGGCTAGAATCCTTAAATACTGTGCTTTGCAATTCATTTTAAGCCAGGCAAGTAGGCCAGTTTTTCTGTGATTTCTATGGAAAGGCTGGGATTTGGGGCGTTTTTGAGCCTTCTAGTCATGGAGCAGCCTTTTTGTGTGTTTTCCAGCAGCATTCCTGACCTGGGCCTCCCAAACATCCCCAGTGGGGACCACACTTTCATTGTCCTCAGGGTCTACCTGACGCTTGAGCAGTCTCTGCATTCCGCTGTGGGGTATCAAATTTAAACTGCAGAGCTCCAGCTAAAGATATTTATAAGGGGGACAATCATCACGGAGACACAGGTGACAGATTACATCCTACGGCCCTTGAAAAGAGGGCTGAGATGGGGACTGGGCCATTTACAGATTGGAAGGGGTCCAGTTGGTTCCTTTCTCTTCCTGTTGTTGCTTCTGTGTTGATTTCTGTTCTATATCTGACGGATGGGCACAGCATGTAATCAGCTCTTGCAGCTCTACCTGTGCCCTCTCGTAGGTGTTTAGGATTCAGACAGAGATGCAGGAGTCAGGCAGAGGATTTAATGATCTCCCAGCATCCCTGCTTGCTGGTTTTCTGTGATGCAAACCTGGAAATCAAAAGCTCCCCTGAGGCAGTGGGATGGACGGGAAAGCATTTTGGGGGGAAAGACCCAACTGTGATGGTCCCCACTGAGCAGGGATATTTGAATACAGGTTTTATCTGCTGAAACTTTTGGGAAGGTGTTGTGGAGCAGCCTGTCCATCCCCTGCAAGCAGAGGCAGCTGCAGGTCACACCTGCTGTGCGTGCTGGGCTAATTAGCAGGGATGGCCACGGCTTGGAGATGTTGCAAAGCCAGAGAGCTGTGTTGAACCACTGCAGGAGGGCTGCCAGGTAGCAACAGTTTTATAGCAACAGTATTATATTTGGGTCATATTTTGACTTTTCAGCCTGTGTTTCTGAAACTTTTTTCTTCTGGTCCTTGCCTTGTGATGGTGGCATCCAGTGGGGATGGGCTTTGCATAGAGGGGTTATTATAACAGCTTTGCTGGGGCTGTGGCTTTGGGAAGAGTTTGCCCTGGCTTGTCCTGTCCCTCAGGGGGTTTTCACACCACGTGGGGACGGGGGTGAGTTCACATCTGTGTTTGGTGCCTTTGGGCTGCAAGCAGCATGTCTGCAGTGCCGGTGGCTGGGGGTTTGGGGTGCACCCTGTGAAGGGTGGGAGCTGGAAGCCCTCACCATCGACAACACGGCTCAGTGTCTCCATGGGAACCGGCAGCAAGAGCATCTCCCAGTCCAGTCCAGCCAGAAAGGAGGAGGAGAGCAGAGAAGGTGGCTGCCACCTTCCTGGAGGCTGTGGCAGGGCAGCGCTGAGCTCTGCTCAGCAGCCAGCTCTGGTCTCCAGGGGAATTGGGGTCTGCTGCAGGCTTTGAGCATATGTGCACACTGGTGCAGAGAACCCACAACTCCTTCTGACTGATCCCTCCAAATCCAGACTCCTCAACCACATCCATAGACTTGTTCCCTAGGACTGTGAAGAGGGACATGGAGAGAGCTGCTTTTTTCTTTGGAGAGCCAGAGAAGAAGAGAAGGTTCCCAAATGGGTTTTTCCTGCCCTGGTCCTGGTGCCTTATCATCAGGGACCCCAGAATCTCCCTGTGCTTCAATATGAATGTGATATACTCCCATGCCAGGGCACAGCAACATGTGGTGCCACAGGGACAGGATCCTCATCCCACCCCTTTTTTGCTGCCTGGTCTTGCTGAGGGGATATCTGTGATGGGATCTCACCCAGCAGCTGCTGGCTTAGGCTTTCAGCTCTGGAGGGATGAGAGTCAGTAGGAATGCCTTCCCCCTTCTCCCAAGATTAGGAGACTGGGGAAATTCAGACCAAACATCTCACTGCAGGCCTGATATACACCCACACACAAACAGCAAGGAGTCCTCATAGTGCATCACCCCAGCCTAAATGGATTGCAGGACCCACACCTCCCTCTTGCAGAGCTGAGACAGTGGGAAGGAAGGGAATGGGTTAATCCCCTGCCTGTGCTGCATTGATCCAGGGCACATTAGGAAAGCTGGAAGGAGGTGTCTTAGCAGGGACAAGTGGGAGCCTCACAAAATCCCCACAGTGTTTTGCCAGTTGGAAAAGTGTGAAAAATATGTGCAGCATTTAATAGCAGCCAGCTGAATGCCTGGCATGGCAGTGGCACATGGGGATGGGGTGTCACACTCTCTGGGACACCACAGTGTTCTCCTACTGTCCTCATGCCCATGTTCTGCAGGATATCTGGAAAGTTTATTGTGGCCCCTTAAAAGTATGTCTTTGGAACCTGGAATTGCAAGATGGGTCCCGGTGAGGCTTCCCAGGGTGAACCAGGACCATCCTGCCTTTCCCAGGGAAGCTCTGGCCACATGAGATTGCATTTATCCCCTTTCCTTGCTCAGTGGCACAGCAGGACATTGCCTGGGGTGGTGACCAGAGAGCTGCTGTAATGGGGTGTCCCCAAGGGACAAGTGTCAGTGCTGCAACTTGGGGTTACAAATTCACACAGGAGTTCTTGGCACTCCTTCCCACTCTCCCATTCTTCATTCTGTTTTTATTCCCCCCTTGACCCCTGCCTGCCTTCCCCCATACCCCGTTCCTTCGCTCAGCCCGTGACACCAGATCTCCTGGTAAGCCCCAGCAGCCAGGATGGGGACCTGGGCTCCGAGTGCCCAGAAGACAGAGGGAACTGGACGGGGCGGCTGGATTTCCTCCTCTCCTGCATCGGATACTGCGTTGGCCTTGGAAACGTCTGGAGGTTCCCTTACAGGGCTTACACCAACGGAGGAGGTACTTGAGCATCCTTTGGAGTGGCCAATTCCCCCATCCCTGAGCTGGGCTGGTGGGACATGTCCCTAAAGAGATGTCCCTTACCCTTCTTAGGGCTGGGAAGTAGCACTAATCACTGTTGTGAGGTGATGCCTCCTCCTGCCCCCCATGCTGGTTTAGGGCATTAACCACCTGTACCCCTGTGTGGGAAAGGATGTGCCAACCTATCTCTGTATTCCTGGACCTGGAGAAATCCCCAGCTCAGTGCTGAACTGAACACTACCTGACCATCTCTCCTGGTGTCCAACAGTTTCTTGGCCTGGTGTCCTTCAGGACTCAGCAGGGTCAGCAAATTCTTCCCAGCTATCGAAGGAGGGAGCTTTTTGCAAGGCAAGAGTCCGGGGTGATGGTGCAAAGTGCTGACTCAACTACTCCCAGAGCAATTGCTTGTTTCACACAATAATAACTGGAGAATGCCACAGTGTTTGAGAAAAGAAAGTTGGGAGCAGGGGGGAAGCATGACACAGGTGAATCACAGCCCTTTTCTCCTGCACTGACAGTGAGCTGTCGCTCCTCATTGTCTTCCAGATTTTGGTGTAGATCCCTCAGGACCAGAGATATCGAATGAACTTCACTGCCTGCCACAGATGGGCTTTGGGTGTTTGCTCTGTATTGCTTTCAGGAGTTTTTTTCTTGCTTCTTGCAGGAGCTTTCTTGGTTCCTTACTTCATCATGCTGGCCATCTGTGGGATCCCCATCTTCTTCATGGAACTGTCACTTGGCCAGTTCTCCAGCCTGGGGCCACTTGCAGTCTGGAAGATAAGCCCTCTCTTTAAAGGTGCGTGAGGAAAGTCCAGAGCCTCTGGAAGGCCTCTGCAAGACCTGATTGATGAGAACATGGACCAGCAGCAGCTTTCTGTGACCCTCAAAGCTCTTGTTAGCATCAAAGGTTAAATCCTGGGAGAAAGTGGAGCAGGCCGGACTTTTTGGTTAGCTGTTTTAATAGCTACAAGATATCTATGAGATCTGTCAGTCTTTGAGGGTTCTGGATGACATGACCAGTTTAGAAATAGTAGAAATAGTGTGAAAATTATTAAACCAGAGCATGAAAGCTAAGCAATGACTGTTAAAGACAAAGAGGAGAATAAAGCATTTTAAAAAAAAAAAGGTCAAATCAAATCTTTTTATTCTCAACATTACACTGGAGTAAAGTTGTCTGGATGAGGCAATAGATCATCAATACAGAGAAAGCATGTCCAGAGGGTAAAATGTCAATAAAAGGCTCCCTCACCAGGTGAACCTCTGACTGTTTGAACATTTGGCTGCTGAGATGCAGTGTCTGACCCTGGTTTTGGATGTGCTCTGCTCCGGAGAGATGGCTCACTCCTTCTTTACCCTCTCCTTCCTCCAGGCATTGGCATGGGCACGATCCTCATCGTCTCCTTGGTGGCCATTTACTACAATATGATCATTGCTTATGTTCTCTTCTACCTCTTTGCATCCCTCACAAGCGACTTGCCCTGGCAGCACTGCGGCAACTGGTGGAACACCGACCTGTGCCTGGACCATCACGTCATCAAGGGGGGGAACACCACCTTCCCTGTCAACATCACCAACACTGTCAGCCCCAGCGAGGAGTACTGGAGGTAAGGAGAACATGGGGATGTGCTTGGCATCCAGCAAGGGAGAGGATGGGGATGGAATGAGGGGTGAGGGGTCTGTGCTCCATGTCTCACAGCATGGTGAGCACTCATGGCTGGTGTTGTAGGAGCAGTGATGGGCTCTTGTGCTCAGCTGTGGGTGATATTTCAGTTTAACCACTGGGATGACATGTTCTAGTGCTGCTTTTCTGGCCTGGTGATGTGTTAGACTGAAATGAATCCCATGCCTGGAATGGTTAGGAATTTGCTCTCAAGATACCAGGCATCCCCTCTAGTCTCACACCAACTGTTCCTATTTCCTTGGCAAATAGCTGCCAGTGCCTGGGATTGCTGACAAGGTTATTTTTTGCAGCAGAGGCATTTCCAGGGTCAGAGAGGGCCTCTAGAAGAAAGTAGAGGGTGCCAATGGCTGCTCCCTAGTGGTTCTCCTTTCTCTCCAGTCGGTATGTCCTGCACATCCAAGGGAGCTCAGGGATCGGGGATCCCGGGAGGATCCGCTGGAACTTGTGTCTGTGCCTGCTCCTTTCTTGGACTATCGTCTATCTGTGCATCCTTAAGGGAGTCAAATCCTCTGGCAAGGTAAGGGCTGGATGGCCTGTTTTGGGGGAACTTACAGCGATGCTCACCAGTGCCTGCAACTCTGCACGTCTGGGAAAGTGAGACCCACAAACAGCATCTGCTGGACACAGGACATTCCCGGGATGCCTTCCACACCTAGAGACCAGCAGGACTGACACACCAGCCCTGCTGCAGCCCAAGGACCCCAGCACTGCAGGGTGGCACCAAGAAGTGCAGTGTCCCACCCAGGGGGCAGGGCAGGGGGGCAGTGCTCACGCTGTGCTCTCGCTCCCAGCTCTCCCAGCTGGCTCTGCTCTCCCACAGGTCGTGTACTTTACTGCCACCTTCCCGTACCTCATCCTGGTGATGCTGCTCATTCGTGGTGTGACCCTGGAGGGGGCCTGGAAGGGGATACGGTTTTACCTCACCCCCCAGTTTGATCACTTGCTGTCTTCCAAGGTGAGCAGGACATTGTGCAATTTGTTCAAGACATGGAAATGAACCTTCTGCCACATCCAGTGTGCAACAGAGGCAGTTCCCTTACTCAAGTGTCTTTTCTGACCACTCCCTGACCTAAAATCCTCTCTCTTGGTTGCTCCAAGATCAAAAGTCTTTGCCCCACACCTTTTCTTGACCACTGTTCCCATGTGGCCCATCTCCATGCCTGTGACTCTGGCTCTGCACAGAGAGGACAATGTAGTCACAGACTCCCCTAGGTACCAGGGCCATGGGCAGGATCATCCCAGCCCCAGTGATGGGCTGGATGAGGCAGTGGGTTCCCATGGTGGATTTGGCTGTTCTGTTGTTCTCAAGAAATCTCAGCAGGTGGAGCAGGGGTCAGCAGGGGTGGCCACCAAGAGACCACCCAGTTTTACAAGGGTATTTAATGCCACACTGGGCTGGCTCTAAAACACTCCCTCTAGCCCTTTAACTAGCCAGCTGATCCACTGTGAGTGGTGAGTGTGTTAACTAGGAAAGACAAACATCCTGTGGGCTCTGCATGCCTGGGGTGCTGGGGAAGATGTGCCCAGAGGTCTGGGGAAGCAGATTTTCAATGCCATTTTCCTTGTGAGGAGGTTTCCAAACCCCTGATCTCCTCAGAACTGCTTCCTTCCCCCAGGTGTGGATCGAGGCAGCCCTGCAGATTTTCTACTCCCTTGGGGTGGGCTTTGGGGGCCTCCTCACCTTCGCCTCGTACAACACCTTCCATCAGAATATCTACAGGTGGGACTCAGCTGGTATCTCATAAAAGTGTTGGGTTGGGGGGAGCCATGAAAACCTCAGCCAGTGGGTTCAAAGCCAGCAGAAGTACACGGTGCAGCACAGAGTCATCCAGCACTGCTCCTTGCACGAGCATCGTGGCAATACCTGGCAGCTTGCACGGGTCTGAGAGGAACAGAGGCATCTGTGGGAGAAAATTCTCCTAAGCACCAATGCAGAGCACCCAGCTCCAAAGTTTTGGGCTGTGGGTGCTGAAGTCTGAGGATAACTGAGGCTGGAGTTGTTTGTGGTTCACCAATAGAGAGGGGTGTTGGACATTTGGGGAAAGCAAGCTTGGGAGGAACCTCACAAAATTACCTTTGTCATGAAATATATGCTCCTTTTAACCCTGAAAAGCACATGCCAAGAGAGGTCCTGGGGGGAGAGTCACACTGGGTCACCTTACTGTGGCTCCTGGGGCTGGCAATGCCTTCATGCACTGGTGTGGGGTGAGAAGGAGAGAGCATGTTCAGAGCATCTTATCTCTCCTCTGTAGGGACACCTTCATAGTGACCCTGGGTAATGCCATCACCAGCATCCTGGCAGGGTTTGCCATCTTCTCTGTTTTGGGATACATGTCCCAGGAGCTTGGGGTCCCTGTTAACCAGGTGGCAAAAGCAGGTGAGGCCAAATGAAGACCCTTTCCCCTTCCCCCTCTGCCTGGGTGTTCTGAGGAGCGTCCCTTCCAGGACTGAAGGCACCTGAGCAGGTTGGTGTGAGGGATGAGGATGTATGCTCAGCTGGCCAGGGGGAGGGAAGGGGGGAGACAGGTTCTTGTGGTGTAAAGGTTGAGCAACAAGTGATGCCTAAGGAAGGTCTGAGCAAGGAGCAGGCTGGTTCTCCTGCACCCCTCCACTCTCTGCTGCAGGACCCCTCCTGCCCATCGTGCAAGAGTCCTGGCAGGTCCCTGCTGTGGTGCTGCTCTGCTGGGCTCTCCTTTTCTCCATCCCCCCATGTCCAACCCCTTCACCTCCTTCTCACCTGCTGTCCTTTTCCTCCCCTAGGTCCTGGTCTGGCTTTTGTGGTGTACCCACAGGCCATGACAATGCTCCCCCTTTCTCCATTCTGGTCATTCCTGTTCTTCTTCATGCTGTTAACCTTGGGCCTGGACAGCCAGGTAAGGAGAGAGCCCACTGAGCCAGCTGTGGAGCACAGGCAGCCTGAGGGCTCAGGGGACCCTCTCCTCCTGTGCAAGCAGTTTGCATTCATGGAGACCATCGTTACGGCAGTGACAGATGAATTTCCCTACTACCTGCGGCCAAAGAAAGCCTCCTTCTCGGCTGTCATCTGCATTGCCCTCTTCCTGATGGGGCTCATCCTCACAACAGAGGTAAGGGTGTGGGCATGGATCCATTGTGGGGACCAACTAGGTCTTCATTTTAGGGAGAACTTCGGTCATGGCCATGTTTGCAGACACGAGTATTCACATCAGCTATCAAGGTGAAAGAGAAACAACGAGCCTGGGCTTGCAGAAGGTGTGAGTCCAAGGGGAGTGACACAGTGTTATTCTCATCCCTACACCAACCCCATAAGAAGTGTGATGTCTCTTGATGTCTCTGCTGTCTTCCCCAGGATCCACAAAAGTGGAAGGAGCTGAGTGGGGGTTTATTGGGATGATGGTCCTGGAGATGCTGGCCATTGTGTTTTGTCTCTGCAGGGTGGGATGTACTGGCTGGTCCTACTGGATGATTACAGTGCTGGCTTTGGCCTCATGGTGGTGGTGATCACTACCTGCCTCGTGGTGACACGTGTCTATGGTAAGGGGCTCGTCCTCACAGGGACACAGGGAAGGATGGGCTGTCTGTATGGAGAGAGGGATTTAGAGGGAGCGGTAGGGAAAGCAACAGACTCACAATGGACCATGAAACATCTCTGCTTCCACCACCTGTTCTTTCTCGGCGGTCACTGGATTCACCTTCCAGAGATCTTTGAGGTGCTGAGACCAGTCCCATGGACAGCATCAGCTGGGATCCCCTCCTCCATCTCCCAGCTGGGAGGGGAAACTCTACTGTAGAAGATGAAAACCACAGCTTTTGATCAGTGCAGCACAGCTTGGTACAGGCACTGGGCTCTGGGCGAGGGCTGACAGCTTCTGAGTCTTTCTCCTTCTCCTTCCTTCAGGCATAAAGAGGTTCTGCCGAGATATCCACATGATGCTGGGCTTCAAACCAGGGCCCTACTTCAGAGCCTGCTGGATGGTCCTATCCCCAGCAACGATGATGGTAACTGCTCAGCTTGAGGTGCTGGAGAGCCACAGTGGTGCCAGTATCCCTGGGTGACCTCCCAGTGTGACAAGTTGCTCTGCTGGCATCTCCTGCCCCAGGGACCGTCCCAGGTTCTGCTGGGAGGTGTCCATCATGTCCAAGCCTTTCTTTTTGACCACGATACCTTCAGAGGGCTCTGGGATGACCTCACTTTCTTCCCATCCCACAGGCTCTGCTGGTATATAACATAGTCAAGTACCAGCCCTCCGAGTATGGCAGCTACCGCTTCCCCACCTGGGCCGAGGTCTTGGGCATCCTCATGGGAGTCCTCTCCTGCCTGATGATTCCCCTGGGCATGGTGGTGGCTGTGCTCCGAGAAGAAGGGACCCTGTGGGAGGTAGGAGGGGCCTGACATTGCACCCCAGAAGTGTGCAGGGGTGAGCAGGAGCCCCTGCCAAGCCTGCACCTTCTGGAAGTTTCTCTCTGTATTCTCTCTGCTGGAGGGGTGTGTCTCCCATCTCTTCTTCCTGCCCACGGGGTGTGAGAGATGGCTGGCACATGCCAAGGCTTTCCAGCAGTGCTGCTTACCATGATGCCAGGCAGGCAGTGAGCAGCCCTGTGCGCATTCCAACTCCAAAGCAAGCCTGCTGTGCCCTGAGGGGAAGCACATTGTCCCAAATGTGGGGCAGACATGGGCACCTGGGACTTTGCACCTCTTTGGCAGGAGCGAAGGCAGAGCAAGGCAGGCAGCTGCCAGATTGTGCAGGCAGCCCAGATGGGATCCCTGCACTGAAAGGCTTCTCCCAGGAACAGGTTACGGAGCTGCTGGTTGCTTGTACCTTTCCCAGCCCTTCACTGCTCTCCCCAGGCTGTTACAAGGAAAGGAGCAGAGCTTGCTGCCCTCCCCAGGCAGCAATCGCCTGCTGTCTGTAACCTGGCTTGACACAGCCATGGGCACCGTGGCATGGCCAGGAGCCCCCTTGGCAAAGACCAACCCCTTGTCTGGGTGACTAACCCCACAGCACAGGGCTGTAGCCCTACAATAGCCCCTCTCTCCTGCAAGCCCTCACCACCAGCACCCACAGACAACAAACCCCCCACAGCAAGGCACTTAGGCAGAGCTGCCTTCCCAAAAAGCTTCAGGACAAGCATTTGGCCCCATCCCATGCCCACGGGGAGCTCTTCCAGTCCCTGGGGGCTGGCAGAGCACCCTGTTCTCCCGGGAGGTGTGGGTGTGCTGGCTGTGGGGGTGAAGGCAGTGCTGGTGCAAGGTGCCCGTGCTCCCTCTGCCTGTTCCCTCCAGCGAGTCCAGCAGGCCAGCCGGCCCGCCATGGACTGGGGCCCGTCGCTGGAGGAGAACCGGACGGGCATGTACGTGGCCAGCCTGGCGGGCAGCCAGTCCCCCAAACCGCTGATGGTCCACATGAGGAAATACGGGGGCATCACCAGCTACGAGAACACGGCCATCGAAGTGGACCGGGAGATGGAGGAGGAGGACGAGGAGGAGTCCATGATGTGAGGGGACCCCCGCCACCCCCAATTTGCACGGGTTGCACTGCAGCACTTCAGGACAGCTTGGGGGGTCTTTCGGGCAGCAGTCGGGAGCTGTCAACCCTGCCAGGTTCCTCACCACCACCCTGGCCCTGCCACGATAGAGCTGCTGCCCATCCTGGTGCCCCTGATGTGTTTCTGTTCAGTGTGACAAACTGTGATGAGTCCATCCGTTCATGTGACAGTGTCTGGTTGAAGTGTCAGGGTTGCCCCACTCCCACCCTCAGCCCCAGCCCTGCCCTCCTCGTGTAGGGGTATCCAGGGTGCAGGAATGTCCAGGCTGCAGCAGGTGGGGAGGTGGAAGAGGTTGAGGAGGTCCTCTGCATTGGTCTGTTCTGTGTTTGTGTGTATTTGACTCCAGTAACCCATAAACACATGTGAGAAAGGCTGTAACATCCTCCATGCCCTGAGGACAATGTGCACCAGTGTGCTCTGATCACACAGAGGTATTCCAGCAAATAACCAGCACTAATCAGTGTCCTCCCAAAGAAATTTGACCTAATAAATGAGCAGTTAAAAGCAATTGAAAAAAAAAAAAAGCTTTATAAACAAACCAACTCGGGCCTTTCCAGGCTTGGAGATCCCCAAGGACCTTGGTGGGTCAGGGCAGCTCTTCCCTGTGGTGCCTGGCAGGGCTTGGGTGACTTGAAAGAAGGGAAGAGGCTGGGTGACCTGTTCCCCATGTGTACAGGGGGTCAGGGACAGGTCTCAGCTGGACCCAGTGCCAAAAGAGGAGCCATGTCCACTGCCAAGGGAAAGATCCAATGTATGGCCCTACCCCTGGGTACTGATTTTCCCAGGGAAAGGAGAAGGGCTGGGTTTCAGTTCCTGCACATGATTTTGGGGTAGATCAGCCCAGAGCTCATGACACAGGGACCCCATCTCCTGCTGACGCTGCTGGCCTGAGGGTGCCAGTGAGCTCCTGGGTGGGGTTGTTTGGACCTCACGCTGCCAATGCCCATCATCCCAGGGTCGTGTGTGCCTTCCATGTGCCATCGGCTCGCCAGTAAAACCAGTGTGTGACACAGCCCTTGTGTGGGTTATCTGAGGGGTCCCCAGCATGGAAGAAGGGCACACCTAGAGGGGCTTACAGGGATGGCAGGCACAGCTGCCCTGGGCTTTGTCCTGCAAATCTTCGTCCTGGTAAAAGACCAAACCTTAGGATAAACACACAAATTGGGGTTTTATGTCTGGATTATGCATGTGGTTCTGGTGCACTGGATCAAGCACTGTTGCCTGAGCCTCCAGAGTGAATGCTGGCGTAAGGCTGCAGTTTTTCTCCTTCCCTACAGTGGAGGAGAATTAATTATTGCCTTTTCACCTCTGAGAGCAGAGGGCCAGCTCCTACACCTGCTCCACCTGCCTGCTCACCTCCCCTTGCCCAGGGATGCTGAGCTCATTCCCGGACGGCTCTGCTCTTCCTTTCCTCTGCAGGACCACCAATGGCTTTCCCCATCCTGCTCCCCAGACCCCACCACGGCTGCAGCTTCCCTGGGCGTGTGGGGCTCCTGCAGCACAACTGCGCGCGAAGCACCTTCGGCCGCTGGCCCCCGGGTTAATCATTAGAGTCCGGCCATAAAAGTGTGGCTGATGGAAAGTTCAGGCCGTGGCGGCTGGGGAGTGGGGAGGGCCTGCCATAAACATTTATGGCCCCAATGAATCCCTCGCTCTAACCTTGACACTATTTGCTGAGCAGGAGGCCTCAGGAGGTCACGGTGTTGCCCAGCCATCGCTGCGGGTGCTGGCTGAGGAGCCCGGGCTGGGCTGGCCCCCAAAGGGGCACACACGGGGGTCTCCAGGGGTGATGGAGCAGGTGATGGACCCAGGTGTTTCATGATGTCACTGCCAGCCACAATGTGCCAGAGGAATCAGGAGTGCTTCACACCTTTCCACGGCATGAGGTTGAACTGCTCTGGGCTGACCAAGTTGGTCCAGTCTCTGCATGTCTCCCAGCTTTCCCTACTCACATGGTGTCCTGCCACATTCCCCAAACCCCCACTGCGATCCTGGGATCCTTGGGGCTCTCCCTTGGCAGCTGCCATCAACCAGAACTGCACTGCAGAGTGATGGGAAGGAAAGAGCCGAGGCTGTGCCAGGGAATGTGGCTGGGGAGCAAAGCTGGCAGTGTGGGAGGACACCAAGGGCAAAAGGCACGGGGGCAGTGACACGGCCAGAGGACACGTGCCCTGGGCCATGCGTGGCTGCCCAGAGCTGTGGGGGGACGTGGCAGCAGGATCATTCCAGTGCTGACACCTGCTGGGGCCAGGGCAGATGGCAGGGAGAGGGGGAACAATGGGGGCACCTCAGGACTGGGGGTGCAGGACAGGGGCTGTGACAGCCCGACCCCAGTCCCCCTGAGGTACCAGCCCACCTGCATGGGCAAAGCCGAGCAACTGCCCCTGGGAGCTCCCCAAACCCACCCTGGACTCACCTGGGTGTTCTGTGCCCCTCACCCTGCAGCACCAGCTGCCCCAAAGCTCCCTCAAACTGCCCAGCGGGCACCTCCATCCCCCCATCCAGCTCGAGCAGCTCCTGGGGGCTCCCATACACCTGCAGCCTCCAGAGCTCCGTCCCAGGGAAAAGGGATAATTGCAGTGAGCTGGGTCTGGGGGGTTGACATTGGGCTCCCCAAAGCCTCAAGAAGGCTAAACACCCAGGGCAGCCAGTGCCCAGGGTACCAGCATCCTGCAGGCAGCAGGATAGCTGCAACCCCTGCCCAAGAATTGGTCTCAGCCCCGATGCTTTCGAGGACAGGAGCGCGGTGACAGAGAGACAAGGGGGTGGCAGACGGTCTGAGTCACTGCAGTGACGGAGAATCACCCGTTTCCATGCTCAGAAGTTGGTAGCTATTTATTGCACTTGAACACCAAGAATAAAACTGACACTCGCCCTCCCTCCCACACCCACCCTACTCCCAGTCCCCCCCACCGCCCTCCCAAATAGAGCATCGGATTTGAGCAGTGATCATTCTGTTCACAGCCACAGGTTCAGGAAAAAAAAAACAAACAAAAAAAAAACAAAGGAAAAGGAAACAAAACCAATCCCACCCCCCACCCCCGAGTTCCCACTGAATCCAACACGGTCACACTGCTCAACAGTTCGAGTGCACTTACAAAAAGAGAAGAGAAAGGCTTCAGCTGCAACCGTACGGACGGACACGAGGGGACAGGCAGCTACCCCTCCCCGGGGCCTGGTTTTTTGTTACGTGACAAAGCTTGGTATAATCTTAATTATAATATATTTTTTGCAGTCATCTTAAATAAATATTTCCATAGAGATTTCCTGTAAGTATATATATTTTTTTATATATATATAATATATAAGAGAGAGAGATAGATCTCATTTTTTTTTTCTTAAACCACTGTTAACTTATTTTCCCTGCTTGTCCAAAAAATGTTACAAAAGCCCTAAAATTGTGCAACAGTTAGAAAAAAGGGACAACAACCCAAAGAAGGAAGGAGCCACTTGATACAGTCCCCTCCACCTCTCCCTCTCCCACTCCCTGTCAATGACCTGCAGGAGGGAAGGACATTCAGCTGGTGGGACGGGTGGCAGAGTGGCCACCAGTCCCTGCTCTGATGTCCCCACAGTCTGCTCAGGTCTGGGTTTCCCTGTCTGGTGCAGATGGGCTGGGACTTGCACCTTGGGACATGTGGGATGGCAAGGTCTCTACCTCAGTGCTGCATCAAGAGCATGGTGCACACCATGAGATGTGCCCTGTGGTGAGGATGAAGGGTCAGCCCATCTCCTGGGGTGGTCAGAGGAGGTTATGGAATCTCCTGCTGGCAGACAGCTCTTGGTCCGTGGGGCTGTATGGCTGCCCTCTCACACATGGCACTAATCCAACCACAGGCTGCAGGGCCCACTGTGAGCTCAAAGTGGGAGCAGATGACTGTTCCTGCCTGCTCCAACCTCTGGAGATCCGTGGGGGCATCCACTGTGGAAGGCAAAGGAAGGGGAGGCAGGTTTGGGGTCACGCAGAAATTCGGTGCCTGGCAGAGGGGGCATTACATGTGGGGTAGGGGGGAAGCACTCTCCCAACTGTGACTGTCTGGGGTCAGGAGGGGAGTCCCTGCTCCTCCAGCAAAGAGCAGAGACCCAGGAGTAGCCTCTTCATCTTCCAGAGGGGATGCACCAGCAAGATGTGAGAAATTATGATGTTGTCACTGGACCCTGGCATCCAGAAAGGGAAAACAGGTAACTCCCAAGCCCACCTGTGGAGCTGGGAGCTCGAGACCCCTACAGTAAGTGTTTCCAGTCAGATATCCCCTGTGAGAGGTGAAAAAGAGCATGAGTTTGTAGGACTTCCGAGTTTGGTTTGACCCAGACAGGCAGGTGACCAGGGGAGTGGGGCTCTGTCTATGCCGGGAAATGAAATGTGCCACAGCCTGATCTCCAGCCTTGAGGCCGACAGGGACAGAAGGTCCATGGTGGTAAACCCCATCCCAACAAGGTGGCCTTGTCCATGTCGCTTACTGGGAGCATCCCTGGACCTTGTCATCCCCAGAACCAGGGGGGGATCGTTGGGGCCAACAGCTCAAAAGCACAGACGTAACAGCAGCATCCTTGGCTCTGCCAGCCAAAGAAGATGGTGGCAGTTGATGGTTATTTTTATAGTTTTCCTGCAAGTTTAGGAGAAATCAGGAAATGTGAAGGAAGACAGAGACAGAAGATGTTTTCCATGAATACTGAGAGAAATGGTGGTGATCTGTCAGTGCTTGCTCAGAGATGTTCTTGGGGATACAGGAACCTGCTCAGGAGAAGCAGGACAAGGTGGGACAGAGAAGCCAGGCAGGACAGATCCCTAAAGTGCAGGTGCTTAATGCTGCCAGCGTGGGCATGTTGGGAAGTTGGGTCTTCTTGGTCAGGCTTCAGCTTGACTGGAAGACTAGAATGAGTTGAAACCCCAGACTCTGCTTCCCTCAGAAAAGAGCAGAAAGGTTTTAAGTGTTGCAAGGACATCCAGCTGCCTCCTGGGGAGGTGACCTTAGTGAAACCTCAAGGATGAGAAACCCCCTTCAAGAAGGCACCTCAAAGCCTTCCTGGAAGCCAAGATGTTTCTCCCTAGCAGTGACTGTGGGCTCTCAGTGAAAGGAGATTGTATCTACCCCAGTATCTCATCTGTCATTCCCAGCAAATCCTACTGCACCTCTTGTCCTATTCCTTTCTCCAGTAGCAGCTGCTGGAGCAGCTTCACCCTCACAGCTCACCCAAGGTCCACACTTATCAGCAGCTTCAAAACCAGGCTGAAAAGGCATCTACCCTCCAGCCTCCATGCAGAGCCCTGACATGACCTCCTCTATCCTCAGCCACCTTATACCAATCCCCAAAAACCCTCCTGCCACCTGGAGAGCCTGGACATCAGAAGGTGGATGGCATTCACCATGGCTGACTTCAGAGCCAGCTCTGGAGAGGGAGAGAGAGAACTGTGAAAGCTGAGTCCTTCCTTTAAAAATGAAAAAAATTCAGCACTACCTGACTATAGGAGGAAAAACAGATCTGTAAAAACACCAAAAGTCTACCTTAAAAGCTA